TCGTGTGATGACAATGGCATTGTGTGATGCTCACATCGCTGTGTGATGACATCACTGTGGGGTCAATGTCATTGTGAGATGATGTCACCATCAGGACAATGGTGCTGTGTGAGGACATCATGGTGATGACATCACCGTGGGGACAATGTCACTGTGCTATGACATTGTGCAATGACATCACTGTGTGTTGACATCACTGTGCAAAGACATCACCACAATGGAGGACAATGGTGCTGTGCAATGACAATGTCACTGTGTGGTGATATCATGGCAAGGACAATGTCACCATGAATGACATCACTGTGCGATGACATCACCATGAGAACAATGTCACTGTGCATGACATCACTGAACAATGATGTCACTGAGAGGACGATGTCACTGTGCAATGAGGTCAGTGCAAGGACAATGGCGCAGTGTGATGACAGTGTTACTGTGTTATCACATCACCAAGAGATGACATCACCACAAAGGCAATATCACTGTGAGATGACATCACTGAGCRGTGACGTCACCGCGAGGACAATGGCGCAGTGTGGCCCGTGGCTCCGTTTCCTGGCGCAGGGGTTTCCTGGCGCGGCGGCCGCAGACAAATCCCGTCTGCTGCCGGCTGATCCCGCCTTGCCCAGCCCTTACAAAAGGGGATTTGGTTGTTCTCCCGCCCGATTATTCACTCAGGTTTAGCGGGAGGTCACTCGCTGTGCCGGGATTTGCCGGGCTGTGGCTGCTCTGGGGCTCCGGGGACAGACGGCCAGTGACCGACATTGCCACCGGACAGATGGCCAGTGACTGACATTGCCACCAGACTCACTGTTAGTGACCGACATTGCCACTGGACCGACGTCCAGTGACCAACTTTCCCACCAGACAGACAGCCTGTGACCAACATTCCCACTGGACAGATGGCCAGTGACCAACATTCCCACCTGGGGCATTCCCCCAACCCAGGACTGACCACCAGTGACAACCATTCCCACCAGACAGACCATCAGTGACCGACATTCCCACCTGGAGCATTCTCATGTCCTGGGACTGACCACCAGTGACCGACATTCCCACCCAGGATATTCCCATGTCCCAGGAGTGACCACCAGTGACCGACATTCCTACCAGACAGACCACCAGAGACCAACATTCCCACCTGGGGCATTCCCCCATCCCAGGACTGACCACCAGTGACCGACATTCCCACCCAGGATATTCCCATGTCCCAGGAGTGACCACCAGTGACCAACATTGTCACCAGACAGACAACCAGTGACCGACATTCCCACTGGACAGACAATCAGTGACCGACATTCCCACTGGACAGATGGCCTGTGACTGGCATTGGCACCTGGGGAATTGCTGAATCCCAGGATTGATCATCAGTGACCAACATTCCCATCCAGGGCATGGGAATACCCTGGGACTGACCACCAGTGACCAAATTTCCCACCTGGGGCATTCCCACGGACAGATGGCCAGTGACCAACATTCCCACTGGACAGACCACCGGTGACCGACATTCCCAGCTGGGGCATTCCCCTGTCCTGGGACTGACCACTAGTGACCGACATTCCCACTGGACAGACTTAGTGACCAACATTCCCACCTGGGGCATTCCTGAATCCCAAGACTGACCATCAGTGACCGACTTTCCCACCGGACAGATGGCCAATGACTGACATTCCCACCTGGGGCATTCCCATCCTGGAACTGGACATCCAAGCCAGGCTCTGCCCAGAATCCGCCAACACCGAGCACGGTTTGGGAATGGCGCTTTCCGTCCCTTGCTGGAATCACTCCAGACTCCCGAAGGGGACATTCCAAAGTGGTCACTTCCTGTGCTGACGGATGTTGGGATAAATCCCATGGGAATTTCTACATTGGTTTGGTTGGTTTAATGACGATAAAGAGATGGGCACAGACGCCGTGGTGGCAGCTGTGGCATTAGAAGGACGTGGGACAGCTCAGAGAAAGAGGTCCAGAGGGTTTTCCTAAAGGAATTTTGGGAATTTAGGTTTCCTGAGGAAATGTTGGGCTTAAAATAGAAAATCCACGAGGAAAGGAAATGTTTATAGGGAATTAATTCAGCTCAAATATCTGAGATGAAAAGCAGGACTTGTCCAATTAGGGAGGAGAAATGTGGAGCTGGATGTGGCCAGTGGGAATATTCGGGTGTGGAGTTCACGGCAAATCCCAGTTGTGGGGTTTTTTGGGAATTATTGGATTAAAAACCAAAATCAAGGGTTGTGCCTCCCTGAATGACAGAAGTGTCACTTCCAGAGCCCCTGACAGCCCCGAGGGCAGGGCTGGGGTGGGGTGGTGGTGGCTCCTCGGTGGTGGATCAGGAGGATTCGGGGTGGGACATTTTCATCAATATCCCCTCACTGCCAGYGGGAAAATTCCGATGGGCGGGAGAAGAGTGTGGGAGGGAAAAGCAGATTTCTGCTGCCTCCTGTGCTGGGCAGATGATTTTCTGTGCCTGATGTTCCCCACGCGATCCTGCCCCAACATTCCCCACAGGACCCTGACCCCAGCATTCCCCACGGGATCCTGACCCCAGCATTCCCATGGGATCCTGCCCCAACATTCCCATGGGGTCCTGATTCCAATGATCCCCACAGGATGTTCTCCATGGGATTGTTCCCCCAAATTCCTCATGGGATCCTGCCCCAACATTCCCCATGGGGTCCTGCTTCCAATGGTCCCCATGAGATGTTCCCCATGGGATCCTTCCCCCAAATTCCCATGGGATCCTTCCCCCAACATTCCCCACAGATCCTGACCCAAACATTCCCCACTGGATCCTGTCCCAACAGTCCCCACAGGATCCTGCCCTGACATTCCCATGGCATCCTTCCCCCAAATTCCCCACGGGATCGTGCCCCAACACTCCCCATGAGATCCTGCCTCTGATGCTCCCCATGGGCCCTGATTCCAATATTCCCCATGGGATCCTTCCCCCAACATTCCCCAGGGGGTGTTCCCTATGGGATCCTGCCCCAATATTCCCATGGGATCCTTCCCCCAAATTCCCCACAGGATCCTGCCCCAACATTCCCCACGGATGTCCCCCATGGGATTCTGCCCCTGGTGCTCCCCATGGGATACTTCCCCCAACATTCCCTATGGGATCCTTCCCCCGAATTCCCAACAGGATCCTGCCCCAACATTTCCATGGGATGTTGCCCCAACATTCCCACGGGGTATCCCCCACGGGATCCTTCTGCCAACATTCCCCATGGGATCCTGCTCCTAGCATTCCCACAGGATCCTGCCCCAACTTTCCCACAGGATGTCTCCCATGGGATTCTGCCCCCGACATTCCCATGGGATCCTCCCCCTAATTCCCCATGGGATCCTCCCCTGAATTCTCCACCGGATCCTGCCCCAACATCCCCACAGGATCCGGCTCCTCCTCTCACATCCTCTCTCCTCTCCCCCAGCCCGCAGCCCCGTGAGGGGTCCGGCCRCCGGCGCCGCCTTCCACCGCTCCACCGAGGACCTGCGGATGCGGCAGAGYGCCAGCTACGGCCGCCTGCGTGAGTGGGGGACCCCAACCACCCCAAAACACCCATAGAAACCCAAATTCCGAGTGCCAGCAGCAGAGTGGGGGGTTAAAATGACAAGGGGTCCCACCATGGACGCTGTCCCAGAAACGCAGCATGGGAKTGGGGATGAAGGGTGGTGCTGGTGTCACTCAAAATCCTGTGGGTGGAGGAAAAAAAATCCTTCAGATCTTTAGGGGGGGAAGGAATCCTGTAAGGTGGCTTGGTTGGGAGAGGACAGGTGGGAAATCCCATCTGGGGTTTGGTTTGTGCAG